CTCTAACTACTTCAGCCTTTACCTCCTAAGAAGGAGGATGTTACCTGATAGAGCCTTACTGCTATGCTCACACCCAGGACTTCACGGTAGCACATTAGGATTCTGAAAAACAGCTTACATTTTTATTTTTCCAATGCTCTACAAGTGACCTTTCTTCTCAATTCAGGGTCCAACCTAGGATCACACAGCACATTTAAACTGTCAAAGTTCTTTTAATATAGGACAATGGTGGTGAACCTATGGCATGGATGTTACTGTTTTTCTTTTTAGACAAAAGATATTGTAGAGATAGATAATGTAAAGTTCTTTTTTCTAAAGTAAAACCTGGGCATTCAGGGTTAATTGCTATGTTGCTACTTTGCCATAACTAAGTTAGGTTTTGAGTTGCACCTGGGCAATTGGTCTCTCTACCATTGGTGATTGAGGACAATTCTCCCTTCTCATCTTTTTTTTTTTTTTTGGAGCGTTGGAGGACAGGGTCTCACTATGCAGTTCAGGCTGGCCTTGAGCACACTGTGTAGCCCAGGCTGGCCTTGAACTTGCAATGATCCTCCTGTCTCAGCCTCCTGAGTGCTGGGATTATAGGCCATGAGTTACCACACCCCACTATTTAGGTCTTTCATAGCACTGCTATTTTAAAACAATTATGTTTATTGGTAGAATACAAACATATATAATGAGGGACTGGGGACATAGCTTAGTGGCAAATGTGAGATCATGAGTTCAAATCCTGATAACCAAAAACCCATCATCAGATATACATAAGGGTCACATTCATCATATCCCTATGATGATCCCTTTGAACCTGTATATGATATATCTTGATTCATCTTTTTTTCCCATTTCTCTCTCCATCTTAATCCCCTCTTGCCCACCCCCCCTTTTTTAACAATTCTTTGTTTCCATTTTATTCTTTTCCCTTCCTTCCTCCTTCCCCGCTATGTGTTGTTACTTTTAAAGAATTCAAGTAGCTGTCTTGTAAAATATCCTACAACCTAGATTTGTCTGACTGCTCAAAATAGGTTCAGATTCAATATTTTTGGAAAAGTGCAAATAAATGTTTCTTTTCATATATCGCACTGCAACACATGAGATATACCAAATTAACTTGTTCATTATTAGTGTTGCTGTTACAGGCAACTGAGCTAGTTAGAAATACAGGCATCAGACAGGAGGCTCTCTAAAATGCCTGCTTTGTACCCGACTTGCTACCCCACTTGTTCCCAATTTAATCAATTTTACCTGAACTATTAATCTTATTGGCTAAACACAGTGAGTTCTCAGTTTTCCCCAACTTTAGACCTGCCTTACCTCATGATTTTACTCTATAAAAATCCCAAGAAAATACAGAATCTTTCGCAACCCACTCGAGACCCTTTCTGTCTCTCTCTCAAACAGAAGTCTTCTTTTTCTCAATAAATATATTCTGCTCTTAACCTCCGTTGTTCCTAAAATTCATTCTTTGATTTTAAAGAACATGAACTCGTACCGGACATAGTAGGCTGGAAGTTTCATTCCCCTGTATCATTGCTACAGTGATCATCTGCTTAGGATAAGGTCTATTCCAACCTTTCCAGAGAATGCTGGGGGTACAGCTTGGTGGCAGCATGTAGAAGGCCCCAGGCCCAACCCTCGGCACCACAAAAACAGCAAAGTCACATGTCACTGTAAACCCCACTGTCAGGAGACTGAGTGGGGGGGACTGTGAGCTCGAGGTCAACCCGGGGTACACGGCAGGTCTGAGGCCAGCCTGAACTACACAGCAAGACTCTGTCTCAAAAACCAAAAACAAAAAAATCTTTCCATTGTAAAGAGACTTTTTCTTGAGCTGAGGATTTAGGTTCAGCGGCACAAGTGCCTGCCTGGCATGTACAAGATTGTGAGTTCGATCTCCAGTACTGGAAAAAAAAAATACTTTTTCTCTTTTAAAAAATGAATAAGCTATAGAGTGGTTCTTTTGAGTCCTTGTAAATATGTTGCTCCCCCAAAAACCTTCTTTACCTACCAGTTTTAGCACCCATTGACATTATTTTCCTGAGCCGACATCACCATTAGGAGCTATAACATGATCCCCGGGCAAAATAAACTCTTGCAAATCCGTTGGTTGGTTGGTGGTTGTTATTGTTGTTTTATATTTTCTGTTTTATTCTGAAAACTCCCAAGAAGGGACCTAAGGGGACACTGCTCCCAAAATACATGCACCACAGCATGAAGTTCCATAGCACGAAGTCCATGGCGCAGAGGCCGCCCCTCCCCATCAGGGGTCCAAAACAGGAGCAGGGGTTCAGGCTGGGAGCCATGTCCCAGCTACCAGGGGGCTGTGCCCATCACCCGCCCCCCCCAACCTGTGGACACCAGTGCCCACCAGTGCCAATGCAATGTGGACTACGGTCACCAGTGGCTGCACCCTGGTGACTGCACCTGGGAGGCCAGGGCAGGCTGTGGAAACCCCAGCAGCCCGGACAACCGCAGTGAGGCTTGCAGTTCCGTCCTGGGAGCCCATCCAGCACCTGGACTGCCCTATGTCCAGCTGCTGCCCCTCCCCACTGGACCCGTGCAGCTGCCGAGTTTGGGACTCCAACCCAGGCTGCTGCAGCCTCACACATCAGAGAATGGAAGCTGGGCGGAGTGGCCGGCTCCGCTCCAGGAGCCAGCTACCCTACCTCCCCAGCCTGGCTCAAGCTCACCTGTGGTGCCCTCAGGCCAGTGTGACAAGGAGCCTTGAGGGACTACTACCAAGCCTGAACAGACCCAGAGGCGGTGAGCATAACTGGCACTGGTGGGAGGGCAGGGGTAGCTCCCAGGGGCTGACCCCGACCCAGTGGGCAGGACAGGGCAAGGCAGGGCAGGGGTGCTTCGAGGGTTCGAGGCCAGGTGGGGTCCAGGATGGGTTGGGTCCTATCACCTTTCCCACACAGCGACTTCCCTCCATTTTAATTATAGAACTGTCTCAGCTACTTTCAGAAGTTCTTGTATATATGCTTGATTCTCACCTGACACCTACTTTATCTTCCTCTTACTTCTGCCTACGTGAGCAGGCACCCAGAAGCATGCACTGGCTTAAGCAGCGGGCAGGGCACTCACCTGTGCACACACACAGGAGGTTCCCTAGTTGTGGAGCTGCCTTCCCCATAGCAAACTAATTTCATTTCATGAAAAGCCTACTCTCCTAAAAACAGGCTCATGCCAAGAGGCAGCTCCAGTGTCACCAGCAGGGAGCAGTGGGACACCAAGGCCTTAGGCGGTAGACCTGGCCTGCACACTGCAGTGGGCCAGCACCGAGGGACACACGAGCCAGCTGTCCTGGGCAGCCTGCTTCCCTGCCTGTGAATATCACTTCTTCCTAGCTGATAACCCTGTAGAACCAGATAGACCACCTATGCCAGCATCTCCTTTAGAAGCTGGTTAAGATACTGATGGCCACAGCCAGCCTCTAGACTCTGACTCCATCAGAGCTCTGCAAGGAGCTCTGGGATTCTGCTTACAGAAGACCTAGTGCAACCTCCAAGGGACAACTGTATCTAAGATACACGCTAGGACATGGCAGTTATAGACGTCTCCTGTGTGACTGCCCCCTGCTAAGCAGTGATTCCAAGAGGCTTCAGATGAAAGTGTTCAACATAGACTATCATATTTCAAAAATATAACCTATTTAAGGCTTTAGAAAAAGCCACTGTACCTACAGAAGCTACCAGACCCATGGTTTTCCAAATTCAGATTCTACCTGAAGCATCTAGCTTTTGAGTTCAAGGTCTCCATGGGGTCCAAAGTATGTGTTTACAATAAGGGCCGCAGAGGCTTCAGGTGTAAGAGGCCCAAGGACCACACCCTGAGGACTGCTGGCTTAAGATACTGCTCTGCACAAAGCTATGCCAGTCACGGAGCAAAAAAGCCAGGAGAAAGAATGTCAGGCTTCATTTAAAAGCTGCGTGGAAGGAGATTCTAAACAATTCAGTCATGAGCCACACAGAAACACTGTGAAGATTTAAGGCTTCAAGGAAATGTACTAAACTCACTCAGCCTCTAGCTCCACTGGAGGAGACACAGACAGACTGAGCCCAGACAGTGCCATCAAGGTTCCCTGCACAAAGTCTCCATTTCAGGGTTCCCATCAGCAGTCTTTGGTGACAGCCTAGAGCAAGGACAATCATCTGGAGGGCATGTGAAGCATCTGAATCAAACACCACTTTCTTATGAGATGCGTCTCACTATGTAGCCCACGATGGCCCTGCTCACAGCAATCATCAGCAATCGTCCTGCCTCAGTTTCCCCAGTGCTGGGATTGCAGGCATGTACATTACCACACCTGGCCAAACAACACTTCTGACTGTGGAAGCCCTACCTTATTCTAACCTCCCTTCACCCTATGGGGCAGCAAGTTCCTAGCAATTCATTCCCTTCTCTATCCGCCCTTTACTGTTACCCAAGCCAGAGCCAAGATTAGCCTGGGGGGGCTGAGATACAGCTCAGTGGCGCAGCACCTGCCTGGCAAACACGAAGTCCTGAGTTTGATTCTCAGTACTCACACATACATATACAAAAAAAAAAAAAAAGAAACAGACAGACAGACAGATAGACAAGTCAGGCATGATGGTGCACAACTGTAATCTCAGCACCCAGAAGGCTGAGGCAAGATGATCACCTTGAGTTTGAGGTCAGCCAGGGCTACACGGTGAGTTTAAGGCCAGCCTGAACTACAAAGTAAGACTGTGTCTCCAAATAAAAAAAAGAAAAGAAAAAAGAAAAAGAAAAGCCATGAAAGAAGAAACAGGGACAGCCAGGCCATATGGGAGCAGGAGGGCACAGTGACGTATCCCTCTCTGCTATGGCCCAGGTATCTTTCCACCCACGGAGCACCAGGCGACACAAGCCATGCTCATGGTACCACAGGGTACAGGGCTCCTGGAAAAAGACACCACAGACATCTACACCTGCAGTTCCCAAAGCCAACCAGGCTCCTGCCACAGGCCTGGCATGCCAGCCAGCCCCTGGGCTCTTACCTGACTGGAACACGTATCGGGCCAGGCCCTGCATTAGCTCTGCTGGCCATGTAGGCGGGGCGGACTCCCCAGTTTCTCTTTTCAGACGAAAAGTCAACTCAAAGCCAAAACCACTAGGCCCATCAGTTCCTGTAAACCTGAAAGGAACAAAAAGGAAAAAATTCAACTACCTTCAGAAAAACATTGTCTGATAGTCTCATGAAAGCTCTTGCTCTGTGTGACAGCCTCAAATACAAGCCTTCTACTCTGGGATTTCCCAATGTGTGAGCCCTAGGGAGAGAAGGGTCTGGAAAGCCTGGAGCAAAGCAGAGCACCTGCGCAAGCTGTGCAGTTCACAGTCAGTGGGGTCTACCAAACTCCCTGTAGGCCCTGTGAATTAGGAATTCCAGATTGCATGGTTCTAGAGCATTCCTCTCTGCATGATTGAGGCCTATGATTCCTTTCTGTATGAAATCTTCCTTGTCCACTTCCCTTACTTCTTCAAGGGTGCTACTCAGCACCCACTCAGGTTGGTAGTACAACGTGCTACATGCAGACCAGGAGGCTGTATGTTCCCCCAACAGGGCACAGTCATCACTGGGATGTGAGAAAAGTCCCAAGGCAGGTTCCAAATACTGGGTGGACCCATATTCTTCCTGAAAGCCGGCATCCCAATGCCCACCTCACTCAGTACTCCCCATGAGCACACTCCAGTCAGGACCCTGGAGCAGCCCTCTTCCCTTCCTGTCTCTGGGGACCCACCATGGTGAGGATGATGGCTTATGTGACTGCAGCTCCTCACAAGGACAACGAGGCAAGCTGGGAGTACCTTCTTCCCTCCCTTCTAGGATTCCCAATTCTCAGGAAAGACCCTGCAACAGACTACTGCCAGAGGGCAAGGATGTGGGCCAGAGGCAAGCCCAGTTGGTGTGTGCCACACCTTTGCTGGCCAGGAAGGCACCAAGGAGTTCCTGAGACTTGCCAGTGTGAGAAGGGTTAAAAATTAAAAAATGTTCAAGATATAATTTTCAGCAAACACGAGCCATGATGTTATACACATGTAAATCAATACAAACCATAAACCAAGACAGCTAACACCTCCTTGCTAGCCAAGGCCCCTAAACAGGCCATCAGAAGAAGATGCTCTCAAGGGCTGATGACACAGTGGAGGCCCAACCCTGGACCTCCTCATGGCATTTTCCTTTATCCATCACCCCCAGAAGATCAGCTGGGAGACTAGAGAGGAAGAGATCCCCAAGTTTCAGAAGCTGACACAGTCCTTGTGTGCCTGGGTGAAGCCAGCCTTCTTTCACTGTGCAGAGGAAGATCACCTCTGACCTTTTTCAAACTGAAAAGGAACCCTTAGGAATGATGTGGTCAAACCCAACTATGTATTTTTTTAAAATACCAGGAATCAAACTTAGGACTTTGTACTTGCCAGGCAGTGCCACTGAGCTATAACCCTGGCCCTCTTTCTCTCTCTCTCTTGCCTTTTTTGGGGGCAGGGTCTTACTATGCAGTTCAGGCTTGCCTCAAACTCTCAGTGATTCTCCTGCCTCAGCCTCCTGCGTCCTAGCAGTATAGACATGTGCCACTATGCCCAGCTCACAACTATATTTCTAGGAAGTATCCATAGTATTTTCCGTAGGTATCTAGCAACATGGGAGTCTGAATCCATTTGGAGGATATGTGTGTGAAATTCTGGAGATATGGCTAGAAGAAGATGCTGAAGTGATACCACTTAAGTTATTTCATTTCCTTGCCAAATTGCCATTGCAGCATAGCAAGGTTGAGGGTATGTTTACACCAACTGAGGCTTCAAAAGCTGCATTTGTTGAGGCTACAGTTTGGAAGGGATGTGAAAAGCTGGGGTAATAAAAGATGGACTCCAAAATTTTACAAAAGGAGATGGGTCACTAGGGCAAAGGAAAGATTTCATGCAGCCACCATTAGAGGCAGCTATGTAAAACATATTAGACCATTATTTCAGGGCTTTCATCTTGGGCCAAGGAAAATACATGGTTTCTAACCACAAAAACTTGAGAAACAGACTAAAAAGAATATGTTCACTGTGGGCTGAACAAGGGTTCTCCCTTAGATGCAGAGAGAGGTGGCTGAATCACATTTCCATAGCAGCGCCTCTCTAATGAGGGCTGTGTGTACACAAGCACGGGCGTGCACACACATGCATACGCCATCTGTCTCCACAAAGAGTACTTTGGGGGCAGCTCCATGGTGGGCAGGCCAGCCCTCAGTTGGCTGTCCAGGAGGGAGAGGCCTGGGCAGATGGCCTCTACCTGCATTTGATTACCACCCACTGGGCTGCTGGACATAACCTCTGAAATGTGAGTTTGGAATGGGCCAGCCTCAGGGTAAAGGCACAACCTGTGCCTCTTTCAAAGCAGGATGCCCAGACAATAGCCAAGGTCGTTCTGTCTTCCAAGTGGCCAGGCCTGGCCTGGAATACTCCCGCTAGGGCTTCCCCTGCCAGAGCAGCTCCACCTCACCACACGATGAGGGCCCTCCAAGGCAGCAACGTTCTCATTGAAGTCGTCACATGCGGCAGAAGGGGGATCTGGGTCAGACAGAATCATTTTTTAGCACAAAAGGCTGCTACAACACTCCCTGGTGGCAAACAAGGCCTGTGGAATTTCTTTCAAGAGGAATTTTTAAAGCAGTAAGTTACAGATTCTCACTCATCTAGTGGGAGGGAACAGGTCTGTCTTGCTGCAGCAAGGAGCAGACGGCCTTCCGATACTATTTCCGCTCCAGAACCCTTGATCCTGCCTACTGAGGTATCCTAGAGAGGCCAGCTTTGGTCCAGCAGCTTGGAGAGCCAACACGATGGCTGTGCTAGGCTTGTGGCAATCAGACCTGCTCACACAGAGTATTAGCCTTGAATCCTAGACACACAGATGCTGTCATGGTTTATGTTTGTGTCCCCCAGGCCTCATGAGTTTGCATTGTTCATTTGGGATGGTTCATTGTATAGTGCTTGGATTGATGGTGTCAGTGCTCCACCCACATAGGGGTGGAGCCAGGATGTGATGTAATGGCAGGAAGAAGGTGTGTCTTTCTCTTTCCTGGTTCGAGTTTGCTTTTGGCGGCCGCCATGAACTGCAGCCCAGCCATGCCTGCCTGTCTTGGAGCCAACTGAGTGTGGACTGAAACCTCCAAAAACTGTAAGAAAGAAACCTTTCCTTTCCCAACTTTGGGCTTCAGGTATTTTGTCTCAGTGACGAGCATAATGTAACTAAGACAGATGCCCAACCATGGGAACCTGCCAGGTGGTCCCTCCTGAATCAGCATACCAAGGAGGAATCAGTCAGTCTCCAAGAGGTGAAAATAACTGCTAATTTCAAGCAGGAAGTGAACAAAAGCCCAAGAGGGACTTTCCAGAGGGAATGCAGAGTGAGTGGCACCGAAAAGCCTACCACAAAGCTAGCGCTTCATGCTCAGCCTCGTTTATCAGCAGAAAGTGCACCTCAGACCTTTGATGAGTTACCAACTCACACCCTCTAGCACGGCTACGACAAGGCTAGCAGTAACAAGTGCTGGCAGGGAAAAGAAATCAGGACAGTCATTGAACTCCTTGGCAGGTACTAAGAGAACTGAAAACATGTTGACATAAAAAGTTACACACGTGCTCATAATAACACTATTCATAATAGCTAAAAGGCAACCCAAATGCCTATCAACTACAGAACAGACAAAATATACATTTACAATAAAATATTATTTGGCAATAAACAGTACAGTGGTAACTGCTACAACACAGATGAAGCCTGAAAACACTGTGAGGTCTTTTATATGAAATCTCTGCAGCAGACAAATCCACAGAGAGAGAAAGAGATCAGGAGCTGTCAGAGGCTGGGGGAAGGAGGCAGGTGAGTAATTTGCTAGTGGGTCCAGAACTTGTTTTTGAGGTAAGGGAAATGTTCTAGAATTAGAGAGAGGTGATGGTTGCACAATCTTGTAAACATGATAGAAACCACTGAATTGTGTACTTTTTTTTTTTTTTTTTTTTTTTTTTTTTGGTCTTTTTCCTTTTTTATCAGTACCAGGGATCGAACTCACGACTGCCTGCTTTCAAGGCAGGCACTTATGCTGCGCTGAGCTAAACCCCCAGCCCCTGAATTGTGTACTTTAATAGAGTGAATTTCATGATATATGAATTTAAAAAGAGAAAACTGGCATTACTTAAATGCTAGAGGAGGCTGAGTCTCAGAAGGCCCTGTTATCTCAGGTGACAGCTCCAAGTGTGCTGCCACCCCAAAGATTTCCAATGAGACATGATGTGGAGACAGGGACAGTGAGACTGATGACCCTGACCCTGTCTTGGCCAGGGCTCATGTATCTAGTTCTGGTTGGCCTTGAACTCAAAGCAATCCTCTTGCCTCAGCCTCTCAAGTACTGGGATTATAAGTGTGCATCGCCATACCTGGCCATGCCTTAATCTTTAACAAAAAAGACTTGCTATTTTGGTTTCTGGTGCTGGAGGCCCTGGCTTCAAGCATGTCGGGCATTGTTCCATCACTGAGCTGCCTAGCCAGTTTAAATTTTTAGAAGTTTAAAAAATTAAAAAGGTGTTCATGTAGAAAACAGATGAATCAGTTTTTTAAAGTTGAAAATTTTATCAAGTAATTGCCCAGCATGGTGTACAGGAGGCTGAGGCAGGAGGGTTGCTGTGAGTTTGAGCATAGGCCAAACTACACAGTGAGCTCAAGGCCAGTCTGAACTACATAATGATACCTTGCCTCAAAAACAAAAAGGTTTATAAAGTAAAAATACTACAGGATTAATTACTGGTAAAAGAAAAATATTCTTTGTGAATTTAGCGTTGCTTGCGTGCCCAGTTTAAGAGCCCCACGAGGTGTGTGGTCCACCTAAGCCCTCCCCATTCACTTTCCATTCACACTCCAACCTACCCAGAACGGCTTCCAGTCCCAAACTCCGCTCAGACTAAGCTTCCTGGACAGTTGTGTCTCATTTACTTTTTATACCATATTCTTTGGTCCTTTCCAACCACTGACTAAGAACTGCTATGATATTCAGTCCAGCAAGCTGCCCCATCAAGTGGTCTGCCTAGGTCCACACTGCACATTTGGCCTTGGTGTGCAGCAGGCCACACCATCCAGGCTTATGGTACACATTCTAC